GAGAAATGCACAGGAGAAGTGTGTCTTCCCAATACACTGCCACAGGGACAGTTCCTCCTCCTGCCACCTACTAGGCAGCCCCCACAGAAATGTCTACTTCCTGCCCCATCACATATAAAGTGAAATGTTCTCTTATAAAGTGGAGGAGGCGGCACTGCAGGGCCCAAGAGCCCCAAGCTCACGCCAGATCAGCGTGGCAGGTGTGTTCACAAGTTCTTTCAACTCACCCTTCCTGTTCAGTGGTGTCTTCTCACAGCCAGGAAAATAAGTAAACTGCAGAGTTCTGGAATCACTTGTTCATTTACTTATTCAGGACATATTTACTGGGTGTCCCCTTGGTGTCAGGCGTTGGGCTATGTTCTGGGCGTGCAAAGCTGAACTGGACCCAGAGCTAGTCTTCATAGAGATGGGGGGCTGGGGTCAGACACGTTACAATACTGCATGCTAAGTGCGGGGGTGGCAGAAATGGTGCAGAGAAGAGGGTCTAACCCAGACTAGAGAGGGAAATTCACAGAAGGCTTGGGGGTTAGAAGAAGTGGTGTCCCATGGGCTTCCTATGTGGTAGCCCCAAACTACAGGTGGCTTTTAAATTTTAAATTATTACAATTAAAAGATATTGAAAGATCAGTTCCCACTAGCCCTATTTCAAGTGCTCAATAGCTACATGTATATTACAGAACTTTTCCATTATTGTAGAAGTTCTATTGGAAGATACTGGTCTAGGCTGAGGCCAAAAAAAGAGGAGTTATCCAGGACCAGGAGGGAAGGAGATGTTCCCCCAGTGGGCCCTATAAGACAGCCTTTGGATACTAAACATAGTTATGGCTCTTGTTGGAGGTGTCAAGGCCGGTTCCCGTGGTGCCTTGTCAGCCATCTCGAATTCCCTGCTAAGGACAAGAGGGAGCTATTCGAGCATTCGACCAGATTTGAGCTTTGGAGGATGGATTGGAGGAGGACCAATCGGGAGGCAGTTGTGTTCCTCCAGAACTTTGGACCAGCCAAAGTGGTAGCACTGCGGGTGGAGAGAGATTTAGGGCATATGATCAACAGATTGGGGATTGTGGTGAGCAAGGAAGGAGAAGGAAGGAAGCTTACTGCTTAAGCTATTTGATGGATAGAGCTAACAGTTCCCTTTGTCTGATGTGCAATCTGAGGAAGAGGATGAGAAACTTTTTTTAAGTGATAATATTGATGTGGATATCTATAATATCCCCCATATGGCTCACCATGGAACACATTAGAAAGAGAAAACAGGGACTCTGAGCCCGCAGAATTTGTGGTTGACAATGGGCAGTACTGGAGGGCAGGCAGGGAGCAGAGGAGGGGGAACAAAAGCCTGTTGCTTCCCTTCTCTCTTTTTCAACTATTCCTCCAATGCTTTACAATTCCACTCACTCAAAAATGGCTCCCAACCGCCACTGAATTCAAGGTCCCCTGCAAAACAGCCCCACTGGACATGCCTATCTTGTTCCTTACAGTTCCATGACATAGACTCCAAATTCCAAACTCCTCGAAGGTTCCTCAGATGCCCCCTCCAGCCTTACTTTGTCCATGCTCTTCATTTTGTCTGGAATGTCTGTTCCTTCTATTTTTGCCCCTAGAAATTTTAACAACTCTCCCTCATGCACAAAACTCCAATGAACCAGTTGCATTTTTTTAAAACACATATTAAAATAAAGTTATAGCTATAAAGTCAAAATATATATGTATATTACTCTATATCACCTAAAATAATCTCACCTATCATCTGTGGTGTATCTACCACATTTTGGAAAATATTACCTTAAACTGCTTATTCTATTTGCTTTTATTTATTGTTATTTACGTACTTGTCTTATTTCCCCTACTAAACACTGAGCTCCAGACAGCAGATAATACCTTCCTCTTTTGGGAGATCCTGAAGCATATAGCAAAAACACCTAGGAGGTCCACTGAATAAACATTTTTAAATCAATAAAGCTTCTATTTTACATTAGGTACTGTAATAGTAGCTAGCAGTAACAATAAGATCAGTAACAAAATTTGGTTTAACATTGTTTTTAAGACTACTTTTCTTAGAGCAGTTAAGGTTCACTGGAAAATTGAGGGGAAGGTACAGAGATTTCCCACATACCTCCTGCCCCCGTACATGCAACAGTAGACCTTCAGAGAAAAAGAAACCTATCTTTTCTTTCTTAATCCTCTGCCTTCCAGCTAATTCTACAGTCAAAGAGAGAGAGAAGGTGATTTGACAAGACAGAAAGAGTGCGGAAAAGAAAAGCAGATGTTTGTCACGCAGGAAAAGGGAAGCACTTGTGTTTATAAGAATCTCAACAGCATCTGCCAGCACAGAAGCAAGAATATTTTGCGTTTGTTGAAAAATCCAGCTTGACCATATTAAGGTATTCAGAGTTACCCACCCTGGAGTGTTGCCCACCCTGGAGTGTTACAGCCCACATTAGTTACCTCCTGTTAGTTCACGTCTTCTCACAGAATCCCAGAGGCCCCCAGAGTGAAAGCGTCTGCTATCAGCTCTCATGAAAAGTAGGAGTTAGTCACTCAGATCCTTATTCTATGTCCTTCCTGCAAGAACATGGACTTTGTCTCCAAAGACCTCTTGGATTATTGAGGGAGCTAAATTTAGATGTCTGAAGGACACCCTCATTTATTAGAAGTTATGAGACTAACAAGTAGGGTGTGAGGAGGAAAGTGGCAGGAGAATGATATTGGAAAGGTAGTTTAGGAACACCTGTGAAGGGCTTTGTATACCAATCCAAGTAAAGTGACCTTTACCTAGAGCCGAGGTGACAAACTCAAAATCCCACAGAGACCAGGCATGTGAATGCTTGAAACTGACCAGGTAATAGGGAGTTGTGGGGACTGTGGCAAAATGGAGAGTTCTTGCCCTGACTAAAGGAGGCGGCTACTCTCTGCTCCAGCTGATTGTTACTATGTGGGATTGTTGGCCCAGTGCGGCCAGATCTTCCAGTTTTCCAAGAGATGCTGGAAATCCAGGTTTTTATAGGATGGTCCCAGGTTTTTAAACCAAACTGGTTTTTGAACCAGATATGGCCCACAGGCCATCTAGTCTATCACCTTAGTATTGAAGAGAACTAATGAAGGTTTTTAAGTGAGAAAAAAGGATATGATCGTATCTGTGCTTTAGAAAAACCACATTGTGGAATGAGAGAGGAATTACAGGGAATAGACAAGAGGAAAGGAAACCAGTTAGGAAACTCTTTCAACAGTTTCAACAGGTGGGAGGTGACAGTGGTCATGCTAGAGTGAGGGCAGAGAGGGATGTTGTCGGGCTGATCTGGAGTCCAGGCTTCAGTGGGAAGAATTTAGCTTAAATCAGCATCTGGAAAAAAGCATCCGCATGCTTTCAACGCACTCCCTCCCCCACCCGTTTCCTCAGCTGGGAGCTGAAAGGCACAGGGCAGATAGGTCATCTCTAAAGCCAAAGGAGAGGAAATTTTAGCAAAGACTCCCGTCATTGGTGCAATCTATTTTTACCTACAATTATTTTAGAGATAGACTCCTTGACCAACCGCCCTGACCTTCATTTGCCCCCGTCAGTGGGCTCAGCATTAATTGATTTTATTTAATTGATTTTAATTAAAATTAAAAACATATATCATGGGCCGGCCCCGTGGCTTAGTGGTTAAGTGCTCGCGCTCCGCTGCTGGTGGCCCGGGTTCGGATCCCGGGCGCGCACCGATGCATTGCTTCTCCGGCCATGCTGAGGCCGCGTCCCACATACAGCAACTAGAAGGATGTGCAACTATGACATACAACTATCTACTGGGGCTT